CCCTTAAATTTTGTATAGTCAAAAACATTACCCAATTACATTATACTCAAACTTTCAACTTTCAAACTTTGCACTTTTTTTCTCTCTAACATATTAGTTACTGTATCACGCTGACACTCACCCGCGAGTGGTGTTGTGAGGGCACAACACAAAAGAGCGTAGGGTGGATGTAATGATGTGCTCACATATCATAATTGTTAACATAATATATTGCTTTATTCAATTAGATAAACAACGGTCAAGTTGTCGCAAGCAGAGAACCGTTAAAAATCCAATAAATACGGATCACCGATGAAAGGAACGAGTTGCGTTATTTGGTTACGTAGAAACTCACACATAGTTATGACCATCTGGTGCAACATGTGTGATCTGTTCCGGAGACAAGGGATGGTCCAATCAGGGTCACCGTCACTAAAGATAACGGTAAAGCTATAGAAACGCGGAGGCCTTTGATAGGACCGCCTGCGAATGTGGCTGGCTTGACACGTCGTCACCTCTCGTCAGCGCATGAACAACTTTCTCGAGTGAAACAGCCTCTTACGAGTGCACGAGAGCCACCAAACAGAGTAACAACCTCTCCATACAGAATTCTACGAGCGACAACTGGACTCCTTATGACGAGCAATAATCAGTGCGTTTTATTATTTTGATTCGAGTATTTTGAGTAATTAATTTGTGTCACCTTAAACTCCTATAGCATAACGCAGAGACAGTCACGACTCACGAGTCAGATAAGACATATTATAATATAAAATATATCATTATTATTTTTTTTATTGAATTTAAGCCCGGCGACAAAGGCCATTAGCTGTTGTAAGGGTTATGAACTGTAGTAGGGGTAAGGTTGGTACGATAAGTTGTTTTTACGATTGTTACGGTTATTATGGTAGGTGGCAAACGCGTGTAGTGTGGTAAGGTTTTTAACTACTATGAACCCGGGTGGTCACCCATCCGGGAACTAGTAGCTGTGGCCTTTACTTACTCCCAGTCACATTCCGCGACTGGTAGCAGCCAACGCGCCACTCCAAGCCACAAAATATATTATTATTGAGTACATTATATTACATTATATGCACGTACCTATACATTTATATTGTACAGTGTATTTGATAAAATTCTCGAAAACACGACCTTGAGAGCCCTCCGACGATCAGGAGGAAGGTAATAGCGTAAATTGTGAGGATTTTAAATTTAAGTATTGGCAGGCATCGTATTTATATTTAGGGTTATTCTTATATTATTTTTATATTATTGTTTATTTTATTTTTGCGCTATTACATCATTTAAACGTGTTTTGACCGTTATAGTGGTTGGTTGTATTATAACCATCATTTGAGATTCAGAGTGGATGAATGAATTGATTTTACAGTGACGTGTGTTTTAATATTTATTTATATATTTTTTTTTGTGTTCATCATTACGGTTTCTTACTAAAGTGCTTCGATTTTGTTCAACAGCAAATTTTCTGGCAGGAAATGTTGGTGCATTCGGGAGGTAAAAATTTAAAATTCCCAATAGTTTTCAAAAGCAACAGGAAAAACGGGAATTTTTACACAAAACAAGTTTTTGAAAAAATCGATTTTGGTTTTGAGTGTAACTTTAAAAGTTTGACCATAGATACAAGACATTTTCAACATTTGTGTTGAACTATTTATAGGCATATGAAATTTTCGATTGTTATTTTTATTTTTAAACTTATGTTGATAAAAAATTTTGTCAAAAAACTTGTAAATTATATTACAAGGTTCCTCGTATATTGTTGTTGGTGCAAATTAAAAAAAAGTTGAGCCACAATAATTTTTTGTGAGCTAGAATTTTGACTAAATTCGTAAAAATCAAGAAAATTAGGAAATTATATTTAGTTAGAAATTCTTATAAAATTTTCTTTTTATATCTAAGATTTAAAAATTTAATAAAAGATGCCTTATAAGTTATAAGTTTGTCTACTTTTATTAAAACGAAAACAATTCTACGGGAAACTGAAATTAAATTTTTTCAACATTGGATATTCACTTTATTTCTCTTGTAGTGATTTTCTTATTTTGTTGTAATTCAAAAACAAATTACTGTGAATACTTGAAATTTACAACATATGTTTATTTTATGAATTCATATACTTAATACAATTTTCAAAATGTGTTGTTTCGTTTTAAGCTGTCGACGGACACTTTAAATTTTCATTTTTTTTTAGCGGTTGAAAAATTTTAAAAATACATAGGCATGATTTTTTTTATAATAATTTAAAGTTCGAATTTAGACAATATTTATCGAATTGAAAATTGAAAGATGATTTTCTAGTTAAAAATTTATAAAATTTTTAATTTTTATAGCTAAAGATTGAAAATGTAAAACACGGTTTCACTTAAGCAGGTTTTTCTGTAACTAAAAAATATATAAATACAGTTAATTTTTACAGACATTTTAAATTCAAATTTTTACAAAATTGCATATTAACACAAAGAATAACATTTATTTATTTATTTATTATAAAATTAAACCCCAAACGGCTTTTTACAATTTTTTCAACATAATCATTATACATCAAATAAAATTAATGTAAGTACAGACAAGAGTAAACTAAAAACTAGATAAATTAACAGCAGAAAAACTATAAGACAACATAACAATGGTTAAGTAAATCACATAGAATTGGCCAACCTACGCATCCTGTGCATAGGGTGATTGAGGCTAAAGAAAGTTAATTGAGTTGGGATATAAAAAGAAGCGTGATTTTGAACATTGTGAGAAGGAACCTTAAATAGGATTTCCGATATGAAGTTTCGATAGTCTATCATTTAATTTGGTTCCAAAACAGCCCAATATTACATAGATATATTTAATATTTTTCCAGCATCACTGATAATTTAAGAATAATATTAGTTCAACTTAACAGCTACCATATTAATAATAAGTAATAAAAATATAAAGTATCCTTAGACTAACAAACCGTCTCCGCTCAGAATCGTTTTTCGTATACAATGATATGATAATATATATTTAATATCATCCATTACAGAGCCCTTCTAGACACTTAATGTACAGAAGTGCGAGACATCTACTTACCCGTTTTTTTAAAGTAGAATGACTATGACAATTGTTTTAATAATATTTTTTTATGTTATATAATTAGTAAAATAAAAGATAATTGAAAAAAAATATATTTTTTGAATGTGTGACTGAAAGAGTTAAGAGGTACCTAGGTACACCAAAAAAAAAAAACGAATTAGATTTATCAAAAACCGGTTTAGTGTAAAAATCTACTTTTTTCCTTTATTTTTTTTTTCACAATGCTTTTTAAAACTACTGAGAATGTTCTTCGTTGGCCTCCGTGTATTATAAAGGACCAAGTGTTATATTGTAGTGATTTTCCTCATTGATGACAGTTGTAGAGTTGATCGCCTTTTTTATTATAATATATTTAATAAGATGAACAGTGAAACTTCCAAATAACTTTAGCTTAACAACATTTAGTCCACTATTTGGAGGTGTCCGCTTTTTAGAAGGGGTAAATTTTAGAAATTTGTTAATGGCATAATACATTATATAATTATTTTAATACTATTAATAATAATAATGCTAGGTACCATTTAATGTTTTAATATTTTAACAATGAAATAATAGAAATACATACATACCAAAATTACATATGTAGTAAAATACATTTAAAACGTTTTAATAAGCTCACTAACTAACAAAACGCACTTAACATTGGCAGTCAAGATATTGATATTTTCTTTATTATTGTCGTGATTGGTCGTCATCTTATCTTATCGTCCCATAATGAGTGCAATGATTGAGTTCATTACTTCGTTATAATACTAGTGTGTGCGCAATTTTCTGTCGTCGTTTTGTTATTATTTCTAAATTAAAATTAAAATAAGTGTCCGCTATTTGAAGGTTTCCATTTAAAAATATTGTAAACGTCCCCGTTCCCCAAAAAAGTCCGCTATTGGGAGGTGTGAAAACCATGAAAGGTTGCACTGCATATGCATTGGTGAGGTTGGTATTTCCGAATCTCGATCTTGTGGTAATTAGGTCCAAATGGCAATGTTAGGTGGTGTATGCAGTTTATATGTTATTGTGTTAATTTTTTTAATTCTTTGAGTTTTTGTGATTTGTATTTTTTCCAAGATGTAGCACACATTTTGGCAGTTGATATAATACTCATTATTTTATAATAAACTAGTAATACTCTATTTCACACGATTAATAAATTTCACAAAAATTGTTGTGTGGAAATTCATATGATTAATATATTATTAATATATAATAATATTTATATTAATATATTATTCATATTAATCTTGAACTGGCAAATTCCTTTTTATTTTTCAAATTGAATTGAATCAATTGTGCTCGAACAGTATTAATTTGAAATTATACAAACGAATATAAGTGACGTATAATGCATGTAGGTTATTCTGTTTTAAGTGTCTACGAAACAAAATGGAGTGTCAAAAATGTTATAACGAAGCACTATTTTTCTTTTTATTAAATAACAATTATTTTGACCCATAGTGAAACCATTGAAGTATTTCCTTTAAAACCTTCAATGTATGCACCGCAAATGAAAATTATATAAATGATTATTTTTTCCAAATGAAAAAATAAATAGAATATTTTATAATAAATTGTTCTCAATACTAGGAAAATATTTTATTACCAATATTATATTATATTATGGTGTAGGTATAATACTTTATAATTTTGCTTTTAACATGGAAATTCCAAAATTTTCAAATAGAATTCTGTTTAAATCTTAATAATGAATCCAACGAGTTTCTTATGTTTGTTGTTTGTCAAAAGTGTGTGTAACATTTACTAGGTACATCCTACGCAGTTTTATGAATGCGTTTTTGAAACACACTTTACAACAACATAATCCGTATTATAATATTGTATACGTTTTGAGGCGCACTACTCTTTCATTTTACCAACTCACATACATTTCCCCCCACATGTCTATGACGTCATAACGTGTTTGGCTATGCTACAATTTACGAAAAAAAAAAAAATAACGCTTACTATATCAACACGCATGCGTTCGTTGTAATAGTTAGTTAGTTTCACTACGCCACAAGTAGCGTTACGCAGTTTATTGCTTTCTATCGGCGTTGTTGACGGTAAGTTTTTGAGTATTTTTTAAATATTTTTTATTTCTAGACGTTTTATTCAAATGAAGACACAACATAATATTTAGTATAAGTACAACGATACTATTGATTTACACAATATATTTTATAGGTACAGACTGTTTTGTTCAAATTGAAAAAAAAAATTCATTCATTTTACAAATTATTTTATTTCATTTTCTGTTTTATCTAAATATCAATTAAAAGGAAATTATAAATTTCATTTAACATTATTTTATTATGCTTATAATATAAATGTTAGAACATCTGTTGACGTTGCCTTCAAAAAGTAGTTGTAATTGTTACTCCAAAAAAAAATGTTGAAACATTAAAGTAAATATACAGAACCTCATTTGGAAGGGGAAATGGGTAACTGCTCTGTTGTAGAATTGTAGTTGTGAACTTCTCAAATATAAATTATTGAATATTTCAATTACTATTTAAGGTTATAACTTTTTCAGTTACACCAAAGAAACAAAATTGATTTTGTCAAATACTGGTTTTGAGTATAGATTCCGGTTTTTATGTTAATTTTTTCCTCCGTTCATCTTAAAATATGCTATGAATCTCTACCTCCTCTTCTAAAAAAAAGTTCCAATTAGGTCCAATCCGAAGCATATTTTTTATTGTAAGAAATTTCTATTGTAAAAAACAAACTTTATTGTAAAATCAACATATTCATCGTTCCGATCAGAACCTAAATAAGATATTCATTCATTTGGAAAGTTCAAAATTCCTTTTTTTTGTTAATTGTCGAAATTCATACTTCGGTATTTTTCATTCCATAAAGAAATTTAACAGATTTTCAAATTGTATTTACTATCAACCTTATGTTTTTTTTTAGAAAGTTAGTCAACTTTTTCAATGAACCTTAAATGTACGGTATAATATAATATATTACTGAATGAATTAAAAAAAAATCTAAATATATAAATCAATTAAAATATATTTAAATCAACTAAGCAAATTGAACTTTGAACTTTTAAATTTCTTAGCTACCTCTAAAATAATTGGCTTACGGTGTTAGTTAAGTTTATCGTTTAAAGTAAATAATTAATTAAAAATTACGGTTGTAAATTTCTTCATACTTTTTTGCTTATCGACCTATTAAATATTTTTAAAAAAACTCACAAATCCATTATGTAAGCTCATTAAAATATTCACACTAATGATTTGTAATAATGATAATATTTCGCTTAATCTGAAAAATATGGATTACGAATTATTCAGTATTGATAGCATTTTATCAATATTTCTAGAACTTTTGTAACTAACGCTAATTTCATTATACATTTTAATTGTCTAGAGTATTCTAGAATATATCATAGGCAGTTATCATTTGATGATAATTTATTACAATTAATATTGAAATGTATTACTAAATAATGTAATTGTAATATAATATAACTTATCTTATAATAGAGATCAGTAATAATATCATATGAAAACATTACATCAATTAAGTGAATAATTTTAATTATGAAGCACGATACATTTTTTTTTTCAATGCAATATTTAACATAATTAGACATACACAATATTATTGTTAATGTCTATAATTGTTTAAATAATTAATTGATAAAAACAGATATGATTTGAAATATTTAAACACGATTTATGGTAGGTAGGAGTTATTCAATTTATTTTGGAGAATCATAATTGTATATTAATAAAAATGTATTGAACATTATTATAGTTTGGTTTTACAATAATATACCATACTCATATTTACTCATAAAAATGATATCAAATATCAAAAAATCTATACATCAATAATGTATACTTTAATTAAATAATGTTTCTTTTTAAGTAATTTTAATTTTAATTCATATAGTTAACTATTATGTACTACATATTTACTTTACTCGCTATTATAAAAATAAATATAACAGCGAACGTCGTTCAGAGAAAATACGGTATACTTTTTAGAACCTAAAACAAATTTTAAAATTAACAACATTACAACTTAAATTTAATATAATCGATTACTAGTCAAGAATTTATATTAAATATGATTGATGCTGTTACAGGATAAGTGTTCCTAAGACTGAGACTTAATTTTTTGAAGTCAATCAAATAACAAACAAATATTCAAAATGATACGTTCCATATGCAAACTACCTCACAAACTAGCTGGACAAATGGCTGTCGATATTCTATCTAGAAGTATGGCTAGTCAGGCCCCACAAAAAATGGAAGATTACTTCAAAGGCAAAAAGTTTATCGTCACAGGATCTTGTGCTGGTGAGTAACACTATGTTAAATAACAGTTAACATTTTTAATATATTCACATCATGTTAAACACACTAAATAGTATACGAATGCATATTTTATATGCTATACAGTATAATGTTCGAGTGATGTTAAGTACAAAATATTGTATCGACGCAAATTTATGAGCGATTAATATGCAATTACACACGTGGTTAATAACTGTACCGAAATTAGTGTTTCATTATGTATATGAAGTTACCCCCCTCAGACACAGTTGTGGCCGTTGGGAGCGATTTATAAAGTTTTATTTACATTTTGATTAAATATAAATCACAGTTTAGAAATAAACATAAGTCAAACTACACGTTTTAAACGACCGAATCATTTAAGAGATACCTACGTATAACTTAAGTACATATACATTTACTTTTAAATGCTACTTAACCATTTAAAGTTTAAACCACTTTGGTATGAATGGAAAACCATATTCACTCAAAGTAGTTTTTAAAATTTTATTTTTATTCAGCCTTGATTTAAAATCCATATTGATACCACTACAGAACTGTTTATAACCGTTTATTGTTATAACTTATATATAATATATCGATTATATACATACCTAAATCATTTTTTTTTTAATTTTCAACACAGCAAAAACGTCTAACCTTTTCCGTCCTCTAACAACACCTAAGTAAAATTTTCCTAGTTCATAATAATTAACAGTTTCATTTCCGTCCAAAGAACCTGTCCAGAGCAATGATCAAAGGATATCCGCTCAAATAATTTGTAAGATCATTAAAAAACAAAGCTTAGAAAAATAATCGGAACAATTTAATAACTAGAATGTTATTATGAGCTGTAATTATTTTAAATGTATAAACTTCATTATCAACGATAATAATTTAAATTCAAAAATATAACTATTTAATATTATATTGTATTAAAATTCTAAATTATTCAGTAAAGCTAATTTTCACAGTTTGTTCTTGTGGTTTTTATTGTTTTGTTTTTATCACTGAACGAGTTGTTACTATTACTATTACCTATAGCGTTATATTATCGCATTAGTTTATGGAATTTTTACTTTTTTTAAAAAAACAGCAACGTGCGATATTTGTAATTCTATAATGTGAATATATTTATCTAATCATTTCATTAACTTTTATGCGTTAATTATGCGATCAATACAATTAAAGATGTATATGTTAAAATGAGTTCTAAAGACTATTCCTTGGCTCTCTACTTTTTATATTAGGTATACATTAGTTTAAATGCTTATATAACAACACCAATATACTCAATTAACTGATTTGTGTATCAGAACATAAAGATAATTAGGTACCTTTGCTGGTTCTGTTTTCTGATAAAATTGTAATTCAGGCTGTTAGAAATTTAAGAATACGATCTAAAGCAAAATGTTGTTTTTATTCTAAGTGCTTAAAATTTCAGTACAATTTCCATAAGTCGAATATCATGAAAACTTCGATAAGATGAAACTCGTTAATTATTGAACAGTTCAATGCTCTTGGTATTATAACATAATAATATGTGTGGATTCTATACCTACATTATTAGTCTGTTTTGTTATCTTGAATAAAACCTCGACATTTTGAAATTCTTTATCTCAAAGTATAGGATATGCTTATCGGACCAAAACTGAATTAAATAAATTTAATTTTAAACTTAATAATATGTTATTAAACTTCATAAAATATTTTTTAATCTTATATTTTCAATTAATATACCTACCTACCTAACTATCTGACCATACTGAGTGTAGTAACGAAATATCAAATTTTTATTTTTTACTTCTATATATTTTAGATTTTAATAATATACATACCTATTAAATCAAAAATAATTATAATCTTTAAATACATATACATTAACCTACAATAACTCAGTTTTTTGAATATTTATTTATTTTTGTACTTTACATTACTTTACATACAATTTTAGTACACTAATATCATGTTGCATAAAAAATATATTAGTTGAATAGTTCACTAAAATTGAATGGACCAATTATTATGGACCACAAAATCATGTTTGAGGAATCATTAGTATTATGTGTTTCGTTTTAGTAAAAATCATAAACAGTTGATTATTATCGATAACCTAAAATAGTTAACTATAATATATTTTAAGCTTTCTTACATATAGTTTTAATCAAATAAATCCATTACACGCAATTTGATGACAGAAACAATTGATAATATTTAATAAAATGTTTGCATTGCATTTAAAATAATGTGTCCAGCATTGGGTAAGGCATACATTTGTATGTACCTGTAGGTACCTACATGTTCGTTTTATCACAAATCGTTAGTTATTAATACCTATTTGAAGTTAATTTGTCAATTACATCAGAGCTTAAAGTTTAAAGTCTTACATTCAACTTTTTACCATGTATAATAACTGTATTGCGATAATGATTCGATAGATGTTAAGTCTAAAACACTCCTAAACCAAGGCAAAGGGCATTTCAACAGAGTTAGTAAGCTAATTAAAGCCAAGGAAATGGGACCACCGTGTGCAAATAAGTGTCGTAGTAAATGTTATGACAAATTGAACTATGATAATCGCAAACTAATATTTGATTCCTATTGGGAATTAGGCGATCATACTAGGCAGTGGGACTTCATCGCCCAACATGTTACAGTTGTTCATAAAAAACAACAAATTGCTAATCGTTCACTAACACGCAGAAACTTTTCTAGAGAATATAATCTCACTGTTGATAATATACAATTTAAAGTTTGCAAAAATATGTTCCTACAAACTTTAAGCATTTCCGAAACAGTTGTTAATACTACTTGTTTATTAAAGTTTATCAAAATGATGAAGGAAAGTGGTTATGAAGAGTATAGTTTTTTTTCTGATAATTGTGCAGGGCAGAACAGAAACCGATTTATTTATGCTATGTGGGAGCATGCAGCATTTACTCTTAAAATCAAGATAAAACATACATTTTTAGAAAAGGGACATACACAGAACGAGGGCGACAGTATGCATGCAGTTATTGAAAACTCTAAAAAACATAAAATTATCTATGTTCCAAATCAATGGATTACGTTAGTTAGATGTGCAAAAATATATGGAAACCCTTATTTAGTGTATGAATTGTCGTATGAGGATTTCTTAGATTTTAAACCATTAGTAGAAAACTCAGAATTTAATTGGAAGACATCAACTGATAAACAAATAATTAAATGGAATAGTGTGAAACAAATAACTGTGTCATATGAAACACCATTTACACTAAATATTAATTACAATTTAGACAGAATATTTACTATAACCATGAGCATGTTGAATATAAAAAAAAGGGGGAAGTTTCAACCACGTTGTGTACCATTACCAGCCTATGAACAAAAATTACCGCTGGATAAAATGAAAATCAAAGATTTATTATCTTTATGTGACAAAGGACTAATTCCATCTTGCTACCATGATTTTTATAGATCGTTAACTCCTAAGTAATGTGTGCTATAATATTGTATTTTAATAAAGTTTCATTCCTAAATATTAATAATAATAAATTATAATATTGTTATGTTATTTTTTTGTAAATATAACTTTTTATTAATATTTAAAGTTTGTTATAATTATTTTGAGTATTTTAATGATAAAGTTTCATTCCTTAATATTAATAATAATAAATTATTATAATGTTATGTTTTTTTTTGTAAATAATATGACTTCATTAATATTTAAAGCATTATGTTTTTTTTTTTTATATATAATATAATATACAGTAGTTTTTTCATTTAAGCAAAATATAAAGTTTGTTATAATTATTATGAGTTGTTTAAATAATGAGTTTTACCCAAGAATATAGTTGTAACTTGACTTACGTTTAAATTTTTATTTTATTTTCCATCGAAAATAGTAGTAACTTGACTTACGTTTTAATTTATATTTATTTTTCCACCGAAAATAGTCGTAACTCATTGATTTTTTTTCCAAAACCAAATTCTTAGGGTAAAAACAAAATGTCACAAGAAAAATAAATAAATGTATTTTAACATAGAATCTAAAAGATTATAAAAATGATTTTGAAATTTAAAATTTTTGAAATCCAGATTTAGAATATACTTTTGTATGTTATTATTGTTGTTCCTGAACATTTTGTAAAAGTGAGTTACGATACTTTTCTTTGGGGGCGTCGAATTCATTATAATCTAATATTATAACCACTTATTTTCATTTCTGTAAGTATATAACTAATTATAATTTAAAAGATTACATACAATTAATTGGTTCTTGAAACTTGAAACTTTTGACTATTTAATAAATAATAAAAAAAATATTATTTCTAGGTATGGGTGAAAAAATTACAGAGAGGTTAGTAGATTTGGGTTCATTTGTTTACGCAGTGGTGGAGAAGGAAGAGGGCGCTGCTAAAGCATTACCAAATACTAAACAAGTATTTTGCGATGTATCAAATTGGGAGGACACTTATAAAAAAATGTACGACATTGGTCCAGTACATGGTTTAGTCAACAACGCCGGTGTAGCAGTTATCGAGCCATTTTTCGATGTCACCGAACATGGTTGGGATAAGTTAGTGAAATCTCAAATCATATCATAATAGTTACACTTAAATGAATAATTTAAATTGGATTTGACAAGTGGTACATTTTCTTATTATTTATTCATGAAACAATTCTAAAAAAAATACTTTTAATATTTATACTCTGAAATTGCATAACTTTTGGTTATGACTTACAGGAAAAATTATGGTACAATTTAAAATATTAAAAATAAAATTAAACTTATTTATTTATCTAAATATTTGATGTAACAAATATTTATTTTTTAAATTATAAATATAAATAAAGAAAAAGAGTGTATAAAAACGTTACAAAAACAATTAATCTTCCCTTATCTGTCCCATATGGTACAATAAATGAAATAAATATTTAAAAATTCAATATAAAATAACAAACAAAAGAAGGCGTATTTTAAACTAGAGATAAATCATATTGTAATCATGCGTAGAAATAATAAATGTTGTTGAATTGAAATTATTAACAGTTTAATTTTCTAGTCAACTTATGAACTTGACTTATTTAATTGGTAGTTGAATAACTTAGATATTTTTAGTTTTCATGGTTTTATACGAAAATATTAGTATAGGTACAAATAATTCAATGCTATAATAATACAAACATTTCCGTTATTTTTTTTATGGATTAACTCTAATATTTTAGTAGATTAGATAGACAAAGTATTATTTAATAATTATAAAATTACTTAAAATGATGTTTGATATAAAAAAAAAAATATTTGTTACATTTTTAATTGAGATGTGTATTGTTTAAATATTTAATAATCATGTAAAATAAAATAGTGTACATTTTGATAAAAGTTCAATAAAGTTGTTGACTATAATTTAAGAAATTAGAGAGAACGCAGCCATTCTTTAAATTATGATCTTCATAAAAAGTAAATTATATTTTTTGAAACTGAGTTTAGCAAACATTTTTTTTTCTATTAATTTTTCTATTATTGAGCCAAATTTATCAATTGTTACCAGGTAGACTGTTAACTTCCAACTTATCGATCTTGTGCTCTCTTAACGTAAATCAACTCGAGTAAATTGTTTTCGTTTATTTTCCCAGTTTTGAAATTAATACTGTGCGTAGTATTGTATAAAATTTACCGTTTTAAAATAAATACGAATTACAACAGACAAGTTTGTTTAAAATCTCCGAAAAAAACTATAATTCTGTTTTTAATATGATAAACGAATTACATGTGAGGAATTTTAACTTAACAAATTATTTTTTGTTCAGGACTTTAAATATCAACGCCAGAGCCTTAGTGAGAATAAGTCAGGCAGTGGCAAAAAATATGATCGATGCCGGTATCAAGGGATCTATTGTAAATATTTCTTCGACGATTTCCACCGTAAGTTATAGTATTATATACCTATATTGTAGTATTAATTGTGACAACAACAACTATAGTACCACCTACCATATACAAGACAATAATATACTGTCATACTAAAACTATAGTACACAAATGTTCTGATTATGAACGTTTGAAAAAAAAAAACTACAACATTTATTAAACACGACTTACAGCAGTCAGGTTAGGTGAGGCGAGGTGGTCGTTTCGCAATAATATTATTATTGCATGACGCGATTTACATTTCATTCGAATTGAACTTTCTAGAGAGCCATACCCGATCACACAACATATTGTGCATCCAAAGGAGCCGTGAATCAAATTACTAGAACCATGGCAATCGAACTGGGAAAGTATGGTATCCGTACCAATAACGTAAATCCAACTGTTGTGTTGACTCGTATGGGTAAAATCGCATGGTCAGATCCAGAAAAATCGGGACCGATAATGAGACGAATCCCGCTTGGCAGATTTGCAGGTTTGTAACTGGGATCAATTGGTTCAACAAAAACCATTCGATCGACGAAAATGGGCATGGTTTTAAAGTGTTGTAATGTTAAATCTGGCGTTTATCATGTTCATTTTTTAGAAACCGATGATATCGCGAACGCCGTGATTTTCATGCTCAGCGACTACTCCACCATGGTAAACGGAACAGCCCTCGTAGTCGACGGTGGGTTCTTGGCAGGATAGATGAGACGACTTCGCTGTGAAACATAATCATTATGAGAAATAATTTCACTAGTTCAATGTTAAAACATACTTTCTTTTGTGTGTATTATTCCAAGCCGAACAGTATCTAATAATAATATGTTATTAAATATATTTTATTGTATCCACTGTGCAATGACTCTCATACAATTTCGACAATAAACTGTGTACCCTGAAACATTTAATATTGTGTTTCACTTTTTGTTTTAAGACATTCTTTTGTTTTTAACACCTTTACATTTATAGTTTTTGCAGCTTAATCAGCAATATCAACACAACTGTTTAAGTTATGCAACAACAATATTAACATTCGTCTGAATGCATACCAAGTCTTACTAATTTATTAAAATATCTGGTTGACAACTAACTAAAATATATTTATGTTAAACCAAATTAGTATCTATGTAAATAAAAACAATATTATTTGTGTACTTTTTTTTTATTTTAAAAATCATTCTGGATGTATAAATTTTTGTTGTATTAAAAATCATTAATAATTATAATCACTTATTGTAGGAAATCTTAACAATTCTTACTTAGTTGAAGAAGAACACTAGCTATCTTAAATGTTTAATAATACCAATGAGGATAACTACTTATTGTTATCTAAATAGGTCATTAGTATAAAAAATAATTTCATTTCAAACGTTATAGCAATTCATATCCGAAATAAGCTTTATACCAGAATAAATCCAAAACAAATTTCACTCAAATAGATATTAGATCACACCGGTATTGCAGGAAATTGTTTAGAACATTTTAGATAACCTGGTCAAAATATCTATAGATTAAACATAAATACTATAATACTAGAACAATAATAACTATACGATGAAATATAAATAAACTTCATTGAATATAATGTAAGTAAGACTCAAATGGCACAAATTATGGAACATACAATAGACACTCAATTAAATCCAATTAAAGATCGAAGTTATGATTGAAGCAATTTAAATTAAACTAAATGTCTTACCTATAATCATCACAAACCGTTTTCGATAAGGTCTTACCGGTCTTACTCACGGATTCCTTATACTGGAAGATGATACACACATAAAATGCAAAGCCAGCTTTGGGGTAGTTATTCTCAATGAAAAATATCCTAATCGAATAGTACCATGATACCATCAGAACAAACTCAACATCGACATGTCTGAAGACCTTGATTCTTCCCTGAAATTGAATCTAAAACCAAACCGTTTGGTTATTCACTATTTTAAAAAAGTAATTAATTTAAAGAATTTATTTGATCTTTTCTGGTAGTATTGTTTATTTTAAGTGACGTCAGTGCTACTAACAGGTTTATCAAATCTTATTCATTTAAACGATTTGGTTTATAGTCTTATTAAAATCATTTCAATTTTAAGCTAACACTTACGAGATAGTACAAGAGTTAAATAAAATAAATATGTTTATTTAACTTATTTTTTATCAATTGAGTAAATCAAATTATTAAACTTAAAATCATGAATTCGTTTAATAATATTGTTGATGGTAAGTCATACAATGTACTTAATTATAGTAATTTATAATGTAATCTCACAATGTATTGTTCGGGATTTCAAGATAACCATAAAATATCGTCACCATTTGCGTCACACGTATTTCTTACCAGCAGATTTACTTTGACAAACCTAAAATTAAAAACCAGGGAAATCTGTCTGATATTTAGTAGGTGTTGAGTGTAGGTACTGTATTGAGTAGGTCACTGTCATGGATGTGTTACATATTTTAAATTTAATTTAAAATTATTGAAAATAAAAAAGAATTCGGAACTGCAGTGTATCAGCTCTCATTTCTGAGGCTATTTTATAATTTATTTATGTTGAAATTTGTAATTTAATTTTCTATTTGTAAAACTGTTGTCCCTATATTTTCCGAAAAATCTCATACCATATTGTATTTGTATTGTTATCAATTTATACCATTAATACCAACGTACCTTAGAAAGTTGGAACCGTGTAAATTGGACAGTAGTATAAATAGCTTAACATTAAACTCAATATGTTTTTTAATTTTAAAATTTCTAGTAAATGCTGATATAAAATATATTGGGTATAAATTTAAATTAACTACGAATATACGTTTTTGAATAACAAAAAAAAAATGAATCAGTCAAAGGCTGGTTTCTAATAAATTAAATATTACAATAAATATAAGTGCAGTAAAGTATATAGTAAATATTCACATTTGTTCTTATTGTTGCTATTATTGATCTCTTATGAGTTATGATTTTTCTTTTGACACCCAAGTCCCAAAGTAGAAACTAGATCTAATTTTCTATCATCAGAAACATCTTTCAAAGTGGAAGAAAGGAATATATTTTCTACTATAAAATATATCTTCAGGCACAAAAAATGAAACACACATAGTTGTTAAACCAATGAGTTCATCGCTCCACTATCTAATTGAATCTAAGACTAAAAACAATATGAAATGGTTGACATTTGAGAAGTGTGTAAAATATTGAATCATAATATTTTAGATAAAACGGTAGTAGTACGGCTTTACTTATAAATACAGATATGAAAAATGAATTCAAGCCGTAGAGCTAGAATGGTTATAAGACAAGGAGACTCGTGATGTTAGGCACTAAATTTATTATAAAATGGAAATTCGATTTACTATAAAAAATCTAAGTTTATCGATTTTAATTTGAAATCACCCAGTGAGATTTAATTGAATATTTAAGTGTTCAAAAGACAATAGAACTCGTGTGTTTGCAAACATAACTATTGAATTAGTGACACGATTTGTGGGTATTTTTATAGTTATAAAACTATGTAATTATCTGCAATGTGTTACTGGTCTGTCTAGTGTTTCAACTTACAGGGTTTGATTATCACTTCATCAAAAACGTGTTGACCTAACCGAACAGAAGCTTCCCGTGATTCATACTCATGCACCTCCAATGCCATAAGTGAAACTATACCCAAAAGCACCTTCAGAGACATGATCGGTTTGGGTAGCCTTAGTTATAATTTCCGGAAATTTTTGATATAATAATAATATGTTTTTCTTTGTAATTATAATATAATTACATTAATACAAATTAATATACAATTTTTTAGAAATACGGGCTTGGGAGTGAGTCGCAGTCTTTAGGCCACCCTGGAGCCGTCCCTGACTAGACGGCACCATCACAGTAACCTATGTAGGTACCTTCTTGGTAACCTGGTTCAAATATAATATAGTCGCAACCACATTATGTTCTATATAATTAAATAACATTAACACAAAATAAATTAATATAACATTAAACGAATACTTTTACTAACTTTTTCTGAATTCTCTAATTTTGAATTTAAAAGGTTAAATCAAAAACGTACCATTCGAAACTCTATTTTACCAACACCATATACTTAATAAGCTTAAATATAATTGAATATTATATACTTAATGGTGACTTAACAGCGTAAGATAAATTTCCTATAATCTAAGTAAATAATCATTGTTATTCATAACCATTTTTGATGTATGAAAATATAAGAATAATAAAAAAGATTGTCTATTAACAATAATTTGGGAACCAACCTAGATTTAGAAATTATAACCAACCGATTAGGTACCTTTTTCAGAAATAATAGCTAATAACTAATGAACTATGTTAATTATTAGATTCCTAGATTATATAACCTCATAAAGTACTTAGGCCAGCCCTTTGGATACTACTTACACATAAGAAAATAATAAATTATTTGTCACCTAGTTTAGTAGTTGAGAATAAAATAATTTTAATGTATTTAACGTGATTTTTTTTATATATTTAAACACAATTAATAATAATAATAATAATAATAATAGAACAAATATTAATACTTGAATATATTTAACTCGGTTTAATTATAATATGTCAAATTAGAATAAAAATTTATCAATTAAAAAAAAAATGATTATTTCTAAGACTACAACTGGTTAAAACAAAATATAAAACATATTAAATAATAATATAAAAAAAAAATTGTAAACATTTTTCATAAACTATTTTTTATGTAGTATATACAATGAGTACCTATATATCAGTAGTTATTCAAATATTTCATATTATAGTATTACAGTAGGTAATTATTATAACATTGGTTATGTTTGCATATATTTGACAAATTGTATATGACAAGTGAATTTTATTTCATGACACTAAAGATTATTGTATTATTATATTATAATAAATATATAATATTTATGTTTGCCGAATAATCATTGTGTGAATAATATGACGATCAATTGTGTTCATCCTGATCATCTCTATTATCAGTAAACATCACACATAAGGAAGAGTTTAATTATTGTTTAAAAATGAATTTATAATATACAATAAATAATCATTTAAAGAAAAAAAATGATAATTTTTTTAGGCCATTAAAAATGCTGTTACAATTTATTTATAAGTCATTGTTTAGTTATTTATATTAAACAAAACAATGCGATATACTATAATATTTTTATGAGCTATAGTAGTCAATAACTACAATATTAAATAATAAAAAAAAAAAATGTTATTTGTACAAATCTGAATTTTTCATTGGAAATTAAGTGTTTATTTTAATTTAATTATTTTGAATAAGCATATTAAACTGTCACAGAATTAAATACATTGTAATTAAGTGTATAATTGTATGTACAAGTAAACAAACAAACAAACAAAAGTGAAGTATCTATTAAATGGTACAAGACATGTAAAACAATTAAATAATAATAATAACATTTCAATAATATTTTCTGTACTACACCGATAAACAAAATATTGTCAGGTAGCCTTTTTATATACGTTTTAATGGTGAATTTAACTATTTTTTTTTTCACTCAAAATGTTCAAGTTTTTTCTAATTTTGGAAAACATAAATGGATAATCCAATGCAATAACAATGCGATCTATCATTTAACATATAAAATCTCACACAAAAAAAAAAAAAAATACAAATACAAATACAAATGAAATATTTAAATTTAAAATAACATATATTTACACAACAATAATATACATAATAATATAATATTATGACATCCTTGATAATATTATTTTCAGTTGTTAATTGCTATCATCATCCGTACAACAAATTGATCGAAATAATACTATGCTATGCATAGGTACATCGTTTACGATTAAGACTACGTTCTAATATTAGTTGAATGAATAATGTTATCTTAACTATTAAATACAAAACATTATTATTCAATAACTCGTTAAGTTTACATACAGTGCAGCACAGTGATTTTTAGTAGAACAAAATAATATCATAACGACATAGGTAATATCGTAGACGCGAAATGTGCAAAAAATTAAACGATGATTGATATTCGTTTCGACGGTAAGTACAGTCACAGTTATTGAATTGATAATAGTAATAATATTAAAAATAATAAAAACAATGGTACCTATACCCGTTACAATATGATTTTTGACGGTTACGATACGATATAATATATATTATTATTGTTTTAGAGTTTACAATGAGCGATAATTGTTGGTTTGAATTGCGTTTCGTCGTCGTCGTCGTTTTCGTTGTGGTGGCTGCAGGCGATGTGCGTCTCACGTGCGACAGAAATAATGGCCAGCGGCGTATCCTGGGTCAGGTGCGGAGGAGGATGCTGCTGTGGCCTGAGCGTGCACTCATCAGATGGAACGAAATGAACTGCCAGGGCTGTCGCGGGACGAGTAGAAGCTCAGGTAGAAGCACAGCAAGAGCAGCGCCACCGAAGAACCCAGCATGTACACGGACCACGACAGATGACACGTTCCTTAGAACAAAAAAAAAAAATGAAAAATAATTATTGTGGTTGTTTTACAAGTCGAACTCTTCACTAGCGTTTGACCGATTATTCGGTGTTGCCAAAGTCTGAGAGCGACGATCATCGAATACCGTTTAAACAAAATGTCCCATACCCCTTTGCCTCCCACTCTCATTCACCTCCTCTTTCTCTTCGACAGTCCGAGTGAAGACGGTCGAGTACCTACCGCACGCCGACAGTGGAGCGATAATATTTATTTATTTGTTTTTCAAAAATACGGACTCAAGTCCAATGCTACAATAAAACATTAAAGCAATTTTTCAAATGGACTAGGTGGAACATTTATATATCAATAGCAGGTAGAATAAGGATAATAAATCGATAACCATAGTAATAATAATAGTATAACTGGACTAATTCATCCAAAATGGTTGATCCTCGTTGGCCACTCTATTCATCCTTACAAGGGGTTAGTTCATGGCATAGTTAGTGGTGCATTTAGAGATAAGAAAATGAGGCTGGAGAGTTAGCTCTAGAGAAAAATAATGGGATTTTGAAGTTGAGGAAATCTAAGAGGGAATGGGAGTCAATAGCTTACAAAGAAATTTTACATTAGTTTCAACCCTTGATGGGGCAGGCCGAGGGACTGAAGTACTACTGGAGTGTAGTCGTATGGTAAATGTTCAATCTTTAGTACAAAAGCAGCAAGACTTAGATACATATATTATAAGACTTTAATAATATATTTTGATACACTGCTATATACTATAGAATATTTTACGGTGGATGGCTGCTCACGTGTAGTTAGACCTGTTCTTAGAGGGAAGAAGGGACGGCCTGACGATTTTTATTCAAACTTGAGGTCTTGCGTTTGAAAACAAAAACAAGAAAATTAGTCTCATAAATTATATTATTTCAAGCGTTTAAAATGTGATTTGTAGAGAAATACCAAGAAATTTCTTAGAAATAAAGTAGTGGTATACATAAATAGGTATTAACTTAATAACTGTCGCGGTGAAAACTAAGGGAAAAACCGAGGGGTGCAGTAATAGGTACTTTCAGAAAACCGATGAGCTTTTCAGCTTATCAGCTCCAATGATTTTTTTCCAAGACTACACTATTTTCTCTGCTTCTACCAAAATATTGATAAATTCATCTGTAGTTTGTTTATACGTTGAATCAGGAAAAAAACGACTGTAAAAATTGGTTATTTGAAAGACATTTTTAGGTATACATAAATGTAAGACTTTACAATATTATTTTTGCACCGAATCTTACAGTATAATGTTTGTTCTAGGTCTTGTAAGTCCTATAAGGATGGCAATGCGTCAATGTCTAGTTCTTTGTTACGCTTACGATATTGTTTCAAGTTTATGCGCAGATCAAAGACGTCATTAAGTGGTTTTTTATTATCTTATATTAACTTCGAATGGTTCCAATTATAGTTTTTTGAGATGGTGGAAATATTTTAAGACTTTTACGTAAAACACGAATTCGATTACACGACATAAAATGTTTTCAGCTTTATTAAAATGTTAAAGACTATGTATTTTATATTTTCAGAAAATGTTTACAAGTTGAAGTGTAGAACATCAACGAGATAAAAAAAAAACATTTTACGGCTTTAGAGTAAAAATATAGTAAAGTTAGATAGACCATCATACTTACAATATAAAATTAAAACTGTAGGTAGCTACTCTGTTATTAACAAATATCTAATTTATAGAATATTTGGTAATCGTCAAGTAATTTTTATGTCAACCAGTAGTTTTACCATTAAAATGTAAAATCAGTTTCTATATTTTTGTAAAAATCTATTATTGTTGGTTGGATTTAAAAAAAAAATTATGCAATGTTTTCTTTAAGAACTAATTTTTAAATTAATTTTAAGAGAACTTTATGTATCAAGAATGTGAATCTTCAAAATAAATAATGTAATACATGGTATTTGTCAATACTTATTAAGATAATGCCATATCTACTTAAATATTACCTATGTTATACGCGCTATGCATACTAAAATATATTAATAAATTAAGTTATCAAACATATTAAGAATAAATATGAATTTAATATTAAGAAAATGCCAGTTGTCCAACAATTATTTCTTATAGTTTAGTCAAAAATAAACCGAGAGAATAGAATTTTAGGCATTATCTAGTGACAATATACCTCACATTAAGTATAATATCTAACAAAGACTTATAAAAATGCCTATGAGCTTAAATTCAAAATAGTTGAATAATATAAACTATGTTTAATATTATGAATTGTTTTAAAATATAAGTTATTTATTTAATAATAATTTTGATATATTTTATGATATTATTATAATTTCGTACATACAATTTACTTTAATATATTTATAAATGTTACTTTATATTCCTTTGTTCATTTACTTTACATACGTTTTATGATTTGTTTCAAGTAGTAATATGAGAAGCAATACAATCTCTAGAGAAATATGCATTTGATGTATTATTTGATCAATTATATTCAAGGATACAAAAATTGGTTTTTTATATCAAATGCATAAATTGAATTAATTTAACGCTTATGTTCTATGGTATACTACATTTGAAATTTATTTTATTATTATTTACACTTGAAAGTCGAAATCTTAATAATGTTATTGGTTATTATTATAGTTCGTAAACTATAAATATGTTAAGTGTAGTCGGCTGTATGTACTAGTTTACTAACAACTATGAATTATTTTAGAAGCAATCTAGGAATTAGCTTGTATTATTAACTAACTAAAAGTAGTTAATTAAATAATTCAGTAGCCAATTTAAACTATAGCTTATACGCGAACATATTTTTAAGCTGACGACATATTATTATAAGCTGAGAGTCGAGACAAAAATTTGTATAAAAAACTTGTTTATTTGTGCATACTCTCATACGCACAAATCCACAAGTTTTTTTTACAAATTTTCGTCTCAGAAATGGGATTGCGTAACCTGATTGTACGTTACAATTGAAGTAAAAGGTGCAAAAAATAAGACAATACTCAGGGTGATATTATGTTGTTCTGTATGAGATTTAGTTCTCCCTAACATTTTAAGCCAAATTCAATTTTGTATGTAATAGATGTTTTCATATTTTTCTTGGTAGTAATAGAGTCTAAAAAAATAGTGAGAGATTTTAAAAAGGAGATTTATATAAAACCATAAAAGCATGCATAACAATGTAACACAATTATGTTGACATAGACATTAATAAATTTATCACGTGTTCAAGAAAATAAATGTGCATATTTTAAGTAGGTAGCTGATATTATAGGAAATGCTAGAAAATAGGTCATTGGGATAGAAAAGTTTTCGCAAACTGTCTTGCTCAGTTTCCATACCATATGATAGACAAGTACTTACTAGCTCTCGCTGCTAAGGAGAGTCTGTCTGGCCACGGGGGCATGTAATCGCTGATATTGTTATAAACTTGCAAGGCTTTGTTTATTTCAATAAACGATAGGAGCCAGATGAGAAGTAATACTAACGCGGTTCCTCATATGGCTCTCGATAAGAAGAAAAAAAGTGTCCGAACGATTATAAGGACATATCATTATAATTATTCTAGACGAAAAAAGTCTGCCGGTTGTTGAGGTTTTAAAATGAATTTTTAAAAATTTGAAGCACAATACGTGCATGCATCTGCATTCTGCACACACATGTATTTGTGACTATCATCAAGTTAGCATAACAGTCGAACATGGAACATAATATTATCCAAAAAACATGTATGTAACTTGTTAGACATTGATGGATTATAGCATTATGGCATAATATTATCCCATATTAATGATTTTGTTGGACTTAATATTATCGGCAGTATTGGTTTTTTTTAAAAAATTTTTGCTGTTGACAATTTTTTTAATTAAACTCTAATAACACAATTCACAACTTAGTGATAATAATTTTTTCCGTTGTAAAAAATGTAAGTGCTGGTCAGCTTATCACACACTTTGGCATAGTTGGAAATCGACTTTGTTCATTTCAATGAGTTATGTTATGTTTACTCAGCTCAACAGAAATGCAATCAATGACCACGGTAGTGGTTGGTATGTATCTAAGTCCAGTTGCCCACCTAGAACGGCACCATGCACTGATAATTTTACGATTGGAATATTATATCAAACGAATACCATCATAATGATGACTGTGAAATATTCAAGGTAAATGGGAGATGCTAACTGTGGTATGAAAAAAAAAAGGAAAAGTTGTGTAAGTACTAGTTTTATGCGACAGTTAGTCGGTCATCGCGGACACTGGATACGCATGTTTCGCTTGAGGTAGTACAACTAGACGAATTCTGAATGTCGAGTGTCTAATAACCTATCGTTCACATTCTGTCTCATCTCGATGATTTGGGCGAATCTCATATTTTTGTCATCATATCGGACGGGCGAACAGAATTTACCAGTAGACGCATATTACGTGGACATTTTGGGGGGCTATGGGACTTAGGTCCCCCAAATATCCCGTTAGCCTTCTCAAATATCAAATCAGCCACCCCAAAACAGACAGTTTTTTAGTTGTGAGAAATCGATGTAATTCTACTCACATTGATGGTTTAAAAAATTACCCTCCCTCTGACATTTAAATGGTTATCATCAGCCGTAAATTGGATACATGGCGGCGCTCGCGAGCATGTCTGGTGTTTTTGTGTGACTTTAAGAACGTTTTAAGTCTAATGTCATTCACAACATATTTATTATACACGACACCGGTCCTAAGTCACTCAAATTAAACGAACACAATAATCTACGAAAAAAAAATGCAATTATTAGGTTTTGTTTTAGCGGAGCTTGTTGAACAGTGGATATAATTTAAATGATTTCAAACAGAAGTGCTAGTTTGACATCGTAATAACTGTTATTATTTAGAAATATAAATTCTACATTTTATGTCCTCATTGTATTGTGTAATATGTATATTACTTTTTTCATTTCTTATTTTTATCATCTATATGGCTCTAGTCCTAAGAATAGTGTCCACGTAATAAAATAGTATTCAACAGGCATGTTTTTTTTCTTTGAGTTTTGATTAAAAAAAAAATATGTTCTTACATTCAATATTTTACTACCTACAGCAGTGGTACCCACATAATTATAAAAATAATTTAAATAATAAATTTTCTGTTGGAATAAAAACAAATTTGTTTTGTTTTCCACCACCATTTACAAAACAATGATTTTTTCTTTAACAATGTAATGATTAGGAGGTACCTATATGTTTATTGTAACTTAGCTATATAATTTTAGTGGTTAAAAATGATATTATATTGTAATAACATAACATTTACAGTTGAAGATTTTTTATTTATTCTTTTATTGTGAGTAAATATAATTCTTTGAATTTCTCTTAAGTAAATACTCGATCACTTATTATCGTACCAAAAAAGGCGGTGATGTTGTCTACAGTTGGGAAATTGTACGAAAGATGGAAAATGAACAGTCATTTTAAGTTTGTTACATTTTTTATTTTTATGTTTCTAAATTAAATTGTATTGATTTTAAAAGACTTTAATATCAGATGTCATAAAAAGAAGTTATTAAAAACTGATAAAGTAGTGAGATAAATGATAGGAAAATAAGTGCAGACGAGTGTTAATCAAGAGTAAATGAGGTGTATAAAACATAATTAAATTATTTTTATTTTACCAGGGTCTAATATACAGTTTAAGATTAAAATAGTATTCAAATTAATGCACGTAATTAAAAATTCAACCTATTTATGTAGCAATATTATCATTTTTGATGGTTGAAGTATTTCGGGGCAAACAAATAAATATAATAAAATGGCTATGTAGTTATTGGATTAGGTACATGAAACTAGTATTACAATTCACAATAGACATAACCTTGAAGTATTCTATCAGAATTTTTGAGAGGTGCACATGCATAATATATCATTATTGTGTTCTACCTGGAAAAATGTAAATTCAAACAACCAAATAGTTGAAGTTCGGACGATAATGCAACCATAAATTTAACGCAATATTCATACATTTACATTGGAGATTTGACATACCATCCAAATATTATAAGCTAGCTATTTATGCTTTGGTAAAAATAGTAATAAATATGAAAATTTATCAAATAAACCGTTAGTTTAATTTTGCAGTACCTAGTTCTAATCATATTTTTACGAACAAACCATAAACATAAATACTAATTCAAAAAATATTATAATTTGATGATATTACCAAGTAGGTATCTTTCGTGTATCAACTTAAAATTTAGAACACTAATATGCAATAACTAATAATAATAATTGGATACGATGAATTGTAATACACATCGATGCAGGTACTCGTAGTTTCATTTTGTAAATCGATTTAAGTTATTGGAAATGCATTAAACGTAGTAAATTTTATAAATAATAAACAATAAATTAGAATTCATAATACTGTATTTATCTAATTCCTATAATTTGCCAAATCCTGTCGAAAATGAGTATGCACACACTGTAAACATAATGCCATAATAGATATATTACAATGCGTTTGTGGATTCAAAAAAGTTATATATTTTTTTGATATAAAAAAACATGTCTTCCCTGTTTTAGTTATACCATTTCAGTAGCATTTCTATAAATTATTATTCTTTTTACCTATGTGAATCTAAGTATGAACCGATAACAATAGTCGATTATGATTTTTTTTTTTAATATAAATCGAAAAGTACGTCATCTCTACAAGTTGTCTCACCAATACTAACTGTAGGTAAATAATTTTATCAGAGCCGTTAATATATTCCACAAAGACAATTCCATTTTAATTACCTGACGATTTGAAATTCGCATTGAGGAATTTCAATAACGTCTGGGAATTAAATATCTCCTTCGAGATAAGGCAGACGTAATACTGAGAAAATAGATTAGCGAATATTGTACAAGTGCTAAAATTTTCGAGCGCATATTTTAATAATATTGTGAAATTTGAGAGTGACTTTGTTTAATAACTCTGTCATTTGAGATAACGTACTCTTACCTAGTTTATATGGTCCAGATATGTTCCCACAGGACTCTTTCACTTCTCTATTGTCCCAGCCAATCGGATAAATTGCACCACCACTGCTCACTAGAGCCGCTGAAAACATAAAAACCATTATTAATTATAATTAATTGAAAACTATTCCACTACAAAAATTAAACATAGTGGATCAATAATATTATACATCTGAAAAGTAAAATAAACGCAATTATAAAATATTAATTAATTAATTAAGTATATGAATATACAGTCACGAGTAAAGAAATGATTAAAATAATTAAGAAATTATATTAAAGTTCTATAAAGAAAGTTATAACTTAAAAATACCGGAAAATCGCTGTGCTCTAAAGTAAATTCCAAGGGTATTGAATCTCTCGTCAACCTTTATTTCGAAGATTGTTTTATAATTTATTTTTCTATTAACATTCAAAAGTAAGTTAAACTAATTTTTTATTAAGATATATATTATATATTATTATTATATAGCATATATTTTATCATGTATTGTTATTATTAATTTATGTGTAAATCAATTCTTTAACATACCTAAGTAAAACGTAAATAGGTTTATGTTTACGTAGCTTAAAATTAGTTTAAATATTTTGAAAATTGGATTGTGTATCAAATAAATACTTAGTAACTTATAACATACGTAAGTTTTGATTACAAAAAAATAAGAAAAATTATTATCTTTCATTTAAAACATAATTTTTGTAATCTTTTCGAAAATATAATAGGCACATTGGATTGTGAACCCTATGAAAAAAATTGAACAGTAAATAATAATATGTAGTTTTGATATTTTAAAGTATTTCTATAAAATAACTAATAGTTACGAGGAACCTTACATTTAAGTCAAAATAAGCATAGATAATATATTTTTAAGGGGTTTGATCAGAAAAATAATGTATCAACATAAATTGAAAAAACCCCTAAAAATATATGGAAAATTACAAATTTCTAAAATAAATAGATCAAAAAGATCCGACATTTTTAAAAATTATATCATTTTTAAAATATATTAACATAAAATATATTTTTAATCGATTTTCAACTCGATCCAATTGTCTACCAGAAACCACTCTCGATGAATTGAATAATTTTTCTGGATAAAAAAGTGTCTCAAGAACACATACATAAACAAATAATTGTAAAAAAATGCTCTCCAATTTGAATCATATGTAAGCATTGGTAAATAAGTCATACAAATCATCAGTAGTAATATGAATTATTGTGTTGATAATTACCGTTGAATTCAAAACTTAATTACATAGATAATTTATGTCAATCTTTATTTTACACTCATAATGTGTTTAAGACTGAACCGTAAACACAATTTCATACCTTCGGGTAATTGAGATCCCAGCGAGAATAGTTTGCATTTGATAGTTCAATACGAATACATTTAATTAGGTTTCGTGATGATAAAAATAAGGGGAGAAGTTCATAACAGAAAAAAAGAAAACCTACGGAACTAGTGCAGTACATAAATTATCAATTAATTAAAATCATCCATATCTTTCAAATTTATAAATATGTTAATTTAAATTAGCATCTCAGTTATTAGGTACCATGGGATAATTTTTATAATTCAAATGAATAATGACACAGTTCATTAGAGTTTGACGATTAGACAATTCGTTTGATGTTCCAATACTGTAATGTAAAAGAATCGCATTATAATAATACGATGTAATCAAATTTAATATTCTTTTGAACCTATTCATTATACCGACAACATATTTTCGTCGTATATAATGCATAATGTATTTTTTTAAATTTGTTTTTTAAAAACCTAAATTCATACGCAAGCTTTCAAATAGTTGTGTACCTATAATAATATTATACAAATATGACTTATTATTGGTTTTTATCAATATTTTTCATTATTTTATTATTTTATTATACATTTTATCTAACTACTCTAAGTTACCAAAAACGTCATGTTTGTAAACTATTACACTAAAGTACTAAGTACACTAAGGTACACTAGTACCTAAAAAATATTTTACTATTAGATGTATCATCATTTAAAGCGACGGTCTTACTAAATTATGATTTCTGCAGATAAATCCAATATTTTTGAAACTTCTATCACAACCTTAAATATTTCTACTAAAATAATAGTGATGATTAATTTAAAATTGTGTATTATCTAAGTAATAACTACAGTCATAAAGATCAAAAAATAAATGCTTTGGTATTGATTTATCAGATTTAGATAATAATATGTATGGGTATTAGCTAGTCTTTCCTGAAAAACGGATATTAATATAAGTCTACCATACTATTTAACACAACTACTTTATCGATCATCAGAATTTCGGGGACGAAATGTATCATAACGGTTTGCGTTAATCGATCTACCAGATCCGATGTTTGCCATATTATTGGCAAGTTGTAAGTACGCATCATTGACCTCTTATCGTCATCGAGGATTATTTGTATGAAATAACTAGACAAGGACTAGCTGATAAGGTTTTGGGTGGAACCCAAGAGACATTGAATATAGAGCAAACTCTAATAATATATTTTCCATTCAGATCGCATAAATCCAACTAATAGAGTATTGCGACCACGTAGTCCTAGCTGGTACTATTCATATCCCGTCTGCTTATGCACACAGTGTGGTTCATCTCCTCGAGCCGGAGTATAATATTTAAACTGAAATGCTTTCCAGTTTTAGACATTGTTCACAAATTGAATATATAATTTCACGGCAATTAATATTCATCCACACACACGCACGCACACACACACACACACATGCTGTTACACACTTTTGTTCAAAACTCTCGTCTCGGGTGTAGAAAAAAAAAAATTTATAAAAAATAACTACAAACATTTGTCGTGCTATTATAATGTACCTATATACGTTTGCAAAAGTGGGTATTATATTGTATAATGATTTATTTTTCGAGTCTGTGTTAAATTTTAAAACGGGTAATAAATAATAAACGAATATTTTGATATCGCAAAAACGAACGAAATGTACCCAAGTCGCAATAGCAATATCATTATTTTTTTGCGGCCCCGACGGGAGGTTTTTTTTTGTCAGACCCTCCTCTACTCAAAACTAAATCATCACACTTGACTCAGAAGATGTCCATTGATTGTCCCGACTGTGTTAATTGTCATTTCCAATCAACATCGAAATTATCATATAGGTAACCTGCAATGTTATTAATTGCATTGCGGTCTAAACAATGGGGGCAAAATAATAGCCCATGTACATCACCCTCAATACCGCCTTTGAACCATTTGTATTGTCTGTCATATAATATGTGGACATTGTTTATGGGTGAATAAACAGGATATGAAACATACACGTTGGAGTTAAAAGTAAAAAGTATAGTACCGTATATACAAAATGATAATCCATAATAATTGATCAAATGTCACAAAAAGCCAATGGAAATTCGACAACACTAACAATTTATGATTAATTATAACTACAAAGTTATCACGGCTCACAAGTAATGAAAATGTTTGAACATCAATATTATTGATTCCGACAAATGCGAAAAAACTGATACTGAGTTCTGCAACAATGATCAATTTTTCGTCGATTTTTGTCCACTTGGAACTTGTGAATGAGGGCTAATTAATTTAATAATGACCGAAGAAAAATACAATTAATTATATTTTATCTACTTATTATTATTACCCTGTACTTAATCAAATATTATTTTCATTGGAAGGGAGACGTTTTAAATATTAAAATAGCAAACTGGTCGTTATGGTTATTTACTGTTGCACATATTATTGTAATATCATTAATAAAAAACACATTTAATTTTAATGAGCGATAACCGCATTACTGTTTTAAACGTACTATTTCTACAAATTGCTAAACAATTCTTAGTAAGGTTGTTATTTTTCGCTCTAATAAATGAATATAAACCTAATTAATATTTAAAATAACTGGATTTTAAAAATAAAGGAGCATAATATTAACCTTGTCGGAATTCATGCTTTTCAAAAATGTAATGAAAAAACTGTTTCACAATAATGTATTAAATAATAATATAAATTAAAGTGTTCACAATTATTAATAATAATTATAATAGCTATAATAATAATATTAAAATAATATTATAATAATCACAATATTATTAATAATATTATATTAAGCAAAGTGGCATCATTTAGGGAGGAAAAGGAGTGGTGAGGTTGGTATTTGCCCGATCTAATTGTAAAGGCAGTCCAATTGATGAGCTGGTTGTTGATGAAATACCATAACTTTAGTTTTTCCAATTTTGAGTACATTTAATATTGTGTGAGCACTAGAAAACTATTGCCACGATGATAGTTAATATTAATAGTCTTTTAGACAAAATATAGTATACGATTATCATACTATTTAATTCTACAAACAGAGCGATTACTCTTAAATACATTAAGCTTACAAAAAACATCTATAATCGAATTAAAATTTTTTCGACTTTCCAATTACTTTTTAGTAGTCGTGTTTCATATTGTGATTTAATTTATTCAACCCTTCTTTAAAGCTATAAAATGGTTAGACTGAAAATGGCACAGTAATCTATTATTAGCTCCCCCGCGACTTTTTTTGCTATTTATGACACTTCTTATAAGTTCTTAAGCAAGATGGAAATTGTATATAGATAAAAATTATAAAGTGGATATTAGCATGCAATAGAATCGATCTGTTTTTTTTTTGATTCTGTTGTATGGGCTGGTCAAGACGTTTGCAATCTCCTTCGAGATAACTGAAATTAATTAAAATAAATTAACCATTGAATTTAAACCCGACAATTCATACCCAGGCTAGGCATGTTTGGTATATATTATGGGGAGTGCCAAATATGGGGCATATTTGGCCATATAAATATCTTTTGTTTTCTATAAAATTATCATAGTTATCATTCCTTTAGAGATAATGCTATTATGTCACTATGATATACCAAATACCAACTATAACCGCGCTACCACCATCGTTATATAGAAAACTGGACACGACATTCCGATTCGTTGATTTTTTTTATGACACGGAGTCATCGACATTATATTTATTTATTTTTTTTTTTTTTTTAAAATATATACGGGCTGAGTACTTTTAGTACAGTCAACAA